GTCGCGTATGATCACAATGTGAATGGTCGGGTGATCACAATGTGAATGGTCGTGTATGATCACAATGTGAATGGTCGGGTGATCACAATGCGAATGGTCATGTGATCACAATCTGAATGGTAATGTGATCACAATGTGAATGGTCGTGTATGATCACAATGTGAATGGTAGTGTATGATCACAATGTGAATGGTCGTGTATGATCACAATGTGAGTGGTCGGGTGATCACAATGTGAATGGTCGCGTATGATCACAATGTGAATGGTCGTGTGGGAGACGTAAAATATTTTTTTCTCTACCCAAGGAATAGGATGAACGAGTTAACAGAGACTCATGCATCATTGAAGTATTAAATAGACAGACTGATGACATAGATTATCATAGAGTAGACTGTTCTGTAACACAGTTTTAGTTTGAAAAGTATAATTTGTAGACTAAGTTTTTAAGGCAGACTTTCCTCCAGAGTGGTTTCCAGATGTGTATGTAGTGTGGGGATGTGTGTGTAGTGTGGGGATGTGTGTGTAGTGTGGAGATGTGTGTGTAGTGTGGGGATGTGTGTGTAGTGTGGGAATGTGTGTATAGTGTGGGGATGTGTGTGTGTGTAGTGTGGGGATGTGTGTGTGTAGTGTGTGGATGTGTGTGTAGTGTGGAGATGTGTGGTGGATGAAAGTGTTATATACAACGAAAACAAGGGAGGAGTGGTGGCTCAACAATGTTCTATTAGGGCGTTATTTAGTGAGTTTACTGGATGATTCGAAGATAACTGGATACTTGGTGTAATTGGGTGCTACACGAGATTAATGGATATTTAATTAATTTATTGGATACTTTGTGCAGTTAAAAAAATATAGTCAGAACAACATAGAGTAATTATAAAAACAAATAATAAAGCAACCAGATTTCGTACTACATCTTTTCAGGTTTAAATTTGCATTGTGAAAATAAATAGATATTTAGCCTTAAACTCAACTAATTATTTTCAAGTTCTCTGGATTTAAAACTTTTATAACATTGATTCTAAAAATATAAAATTTCTTATTTAGTTTTAGGTTTAAGTTTTTATTTTAATTATTTTTTTACGGTAGCTTTGATTGCAAAATCTTTAAAAGCGCGTTTTTAATCCATGTCAACAATATGATGGAAGGATTCTCGTCAACTCTGTCGCTTCCATTGTAATCGTTCAAAAATCTAAATTTTGCAATTTTGTCCGTATGTCTGTGGGTATGTCTGGGAACACGATAACTTCAGTACCGTTACAGCTAGGTTGATGAAATTTCCTATATCAGTATTATATTATATTTGTAGTTCTATATAAACTTTTCAGCGATTTCCGGTAACCGGAAGTGGAACTCAGTACCTTTTTTTCTAAAGCCTGTAACTTGCGTACTGTTTCAGCTTGGTGGACGAAATTTTACATATAAGTAAAAACATTTAATTCTCTGCCTTCTTTCAAATTTTGAGTAATTTCCGTTTAAAGGAAATAGTATTTTACGCTATTTCCGATTTCTTAAAAAACTCATCTGAATTTATTAAGTGCTAATATTCCGCATTATTATACACATTTTTTTTGCGGTTCGCTTGTCGCGCAATTCTTTTTTTCTACGAGATTCTATTCTAAAAAGTTTAAATAATTAACAATGGATTAAAAATCATGTCTATATCCCGAGTTGCCATCCTTCGTAGTGTTATATAAGAACATTCGAGTTTAGGCAATATCACTCCCTCTTTATTTAAGTTAATTGATGTATGACCAAGAGAAGAGAACTTCAGCGAGTATATCAAACTCCGTTTAATCGAAATCAGTTATGGGAACTTGAAATCCTGCGGTCAAATATTTGGACTAGATGTGTATCGATGATAAGCAGTGGTTAATCACGTGTCATAGATGAGGGACTGTGGACGACGTCGTAACACCAATAAACAACCAGCCTCCCCAACCCTCAATCACCAACACCACTGTTCCACATCCCTAATGGACGGTGCTCTAACAGCTATAACAGACGCTGTTCGCCCTGCCCCTAATGGGGACAACTATCCCCATCAGATCCGACACTTCTTCTATCCCCAACAGCTTATCCCCATCATTTATCATTTATGACCCCCCCCCCCCCCCAACAGCCATGGCCCAACACTGTCCCACCAACACGCCCCCAGCACCAACCTACGTTCCCCAACAGTCAGTTCCCTTGTCTTCATATAGGCCTACAGTTCCTATAGGCTTAGGGTAGCAACTGCCGTATACGTAGGCTTAGGGTAGAAACTGCCGTATACGTAGACTTAGGGTAGCAACTGCCGTATACGTAGACTTAGGTTAGCAACTGCCGTATACGGCAAAACATTTTTAATTAATCGGATGTTGAAAAACTTTTCGAATTTATCAGTCTGTGGCCAAAAGTTTTTGAATGTGATATTGAATGAAGAATAAAAGCACACTGCAGTTTCTTTAAGCTATTAGGACACCAACTTTAGACCTGAACGTATCCACGCTTCAGTAGATTGTACTTTTAGAAGCGGACAAAAAATAACGGCTTGTTTTTGTGTACAAATTCGTCCGTCTGTTCCTTGTTATAAAAATGTAACAAAGGAAAAGTTAAGGAGTTTTTAAATAGCTTTCAAAAGAAGTTTATTTTTGTTTTTGATTTAGAAGATAAATAGACCAAAAACGGTCTTGGAGCAAAGTGATAATTCAGCTTGAGTGCGAGGCTCTCGTCACTAGCTGAGTACTCGAGATAGCTGAATCTAGCTCAATGGGCCAGTTGAACTAGCACAACAAAGACACCGCTTCATTGAATATCAAAGGCAAAAACATCTCAATCTCTTACAGATAGCCTCTTAGGTTCCGCTTTATCAGATATGTTAATTAGCATACTACTAATGACGTCTTACCGTAAAGATGTTTCTTTTTGTCGTGAAAATTAAACATGGTGTAAAGGTATTATAAAAATAAATTCGACGATTTAACGGTTGAATGAGTATCTAAACAGTTTTTTGTTGATCTAAACAGTGACAAATTTATGACAAGGTTTAAACGTGGGTCTGAAGGCCACGGCTGTCTCAACAGGTGAAACAGGTTTTAACATGATGCTCTGGAAATAATCGTTTAACATCTGTTGTATCTAGCGTCTAAACTTAGCCACGTAAAACACCTTTTGTAATGAATATATATGCACTGGAGCGACAACTCAGAAGATATTCTTACTTCTATAATTTTAATTTTTTTTACATGTATATAGATCTATATTTTGTACAAGTGTGTATTAACATACAAAGGCATAATCTTTATGTCTACCTTCCCATTATTTGTTGAATTTTTTTTAAAAACTTTAAAAACTGTAATTATAAATTTAAAGGTTCAATTGCTTCGCTATTTCAATGTGATTGTCAATAGTTTTATATCGGTTCTAAAAGATTAAAGACAAAGAAAGAATAAAATGGCGCAAAACAGGTAGGCGTTCTGTCGTGAACTACTGACCTTGGGAGATGTAATTGTGAGGTTTTGTATGAGCCGGCTGGTCGTCGCGCTGTATTCACATCTAGAGAACTCTACGGATTGATGGGATTAGCCGTACACAGGGAGGGGAGGTAACCGGAGATGTCTCTTTGTTCTCATGATAAATCTGGCAATAACAGACTCACAAAATAACAGGGTCACGTGATCCATTGTATCCTATTTGGTGACCCACATCTGCCCTAGACAGGGACGAAAAAACTCACAGAATATTCTCACCGTTGAAATTTTCCCATACAGCAGACATTCGGATATATATATATATATATATATATATATATATATATATATATATATATATATATATATATATATATATATATATATATATATATATATATACATATATATATGTGTGTGTGTGTTATATGCCTATGAGCATTTTGGCTTTAATTTATATACATATATGTATAATATATATATATATATATATATATATATATATATATATATATATATATATATATATATATATATATATATATATATATATATATTATATATAATATAAAAAAACCAAATAATACATACTATTGTACTACTATTATACTTTAAGCCAACAGTTTCTCATCCCAATCTGTTGCACTAGGGCCTGTTAATTACCAGCCTAATTTAACTGCCACTCTTTGTCGTCTGTGAAGGTCTAAAGTTTCATCCACCCAAAAAGTCGATTTTAGTAGATAGCGTAGCCCGTAGGACTGCGCCATAAACCGATCGGGCACTATACAGCCAACTTCTAGGCAGTTCGGATAAGTAAACCTATTGTAATACTTTAACTGTGGCTAGTTATGTAACCCAGTGGTTACCTTATAAAGGTCATTGATCGACGGCCCTAGGGTCTTGGGATCGATTCCTATTTAGAAAACGTTTTCTCCTTTTACATTTATTGACTACAGTCTTTGGTTACAGAATTCATTTACATTCTACATGTTTTCTGTTCCAAATTTATACTGATTTTATAAATACACATATTCGATAATTTTATACCGATTATATAAATACACATATTCGATAATTTTATACTGATTTTATAAATACATATATTCGATAATTTTATACTGATTTTATTAATACATATATTCGATAATTTATACTGATTTTATAATTACATATATTCGATAATTTATACTGATTTTATAAATACATATATTCGATAATTTATACTGATTTTATAAATACACATATACGAAAAATTGTCTTCCTTATTGACCGACTAGACATACCAATTAACATACCAATAAACATTTAAATGTTGTTTTAGATTTTCATTTAAACTTCTTTAATTTATTATTAAACTTAGACAAATGGTATGTCTATTCTAATGACTCGATTAACAAACATGTTATTGGATATAGTGATCTTCAAATTAAAATTTTAACTAAGTTAAAATTAGATTAATATCTAGAAAAATCTAGATATTCTAGTGTTGTGAGCGGTGACAACTGTAAGTCACGGAGGTGTTGTAAGCGTCAACTATGTAGCAGAACTCACCTGAGGTCAGGAAAGAATCAAACACCGGTGACAGGAACTGTGTTTATAGTCCAGCGTGAGGGTGGTGCGGCAGGACGCTTGTAAACAGCCCGACCCCGGCCAGAGTACCGCCCGTGGTGAGTACTGTGGTTAATACCACAGCCTAGGAGCCAGTCAATAATCTCAACCCGCCACTCCAGAACAGGCGGGAAGCGATGGATCACAGTGGTTCTAATCGCCCTGGTTAGGTCCCTTACCTCCCCTTCAATAGCGTTTACATGGCTAGAACCATTACCTCCCCTTTCCCCGAGGTCTAGTATATTCATATCTAAGGTCCTTAAATCCGCTTCCTATAGTCTAGTTTATTCACGGCTCGGGCACTTACCTCCCTTATGTCTAGTTCATTCATAGTTAGGGTCCTTATCTACAATACCGATGTCACAATGGTTCTAATCATTTATTTCTATGGCCCTATATCTCTTTCCAGATGCCTCTATGGTTAGTTCTTAAACTTCCCTATTTGTTGCCTTAGTGATCCTACATCTTGTTATCAGGTCATCCATGCATATATATATATATATATATATATATATATATATATATATATATATATATATATATATATATATATATATATATATATATATATATATATATATATGTGTGTGTGTGTTTGTATAATCATTGGAATTTGAAGGGGTTTAGGTGGGTTACAAACAGCCCCCCTCCCACACACACTTAAGCACAGCTGCATTTTTTACGTCGCGCACGTGCCACTAATTTCACTTTCAGATTCAGATTTTCTATGACAAATAGAGGCACAATGTACGTCACCTACTGAAATATGCAGTGGCGTCACCAGAGGGGGCTACAACACTCCTCCACAATGTAAGTCACCTACTGAAATCAGCAGTGGCGTCACCAGAGGGGGCTACAACACTCCTTCACAATGTAAGTCACCTACTGAAATCAGCAGTGGCGTCATCAGAGGGGGTTACAACACTGCTCAACAGACCTCACACGGAATGTTCTCACATATTGCTACAGCTCTGGACGGCATGCGCTAATGTCGCTGTCTGTCTATTCCAAAATGTATATATATGTATTCCTGACATAGATATGCCAGTTATAGGGATGGGTATGGCTCTATATCAATAATATTTTTCCTGCTATTACTAACCAAACAAAGACATCCGTGTGTTGACGTTGTTTCTGTGCCCTCACCTGACCTGTAGTTCAGTAGTTCCTGTTGTCAGTGTTAAGCCACCATTGGATTGTTTATATGACGGAAGCGCTGACAACAGCCGTATTGTTGTACCAACAGAAGCACCACACTGCTAGCATAAAATGTAAACAACGCCTTTTGTTTATGTTCACTTGGTCGTAGCTTGCATCACCCGTTTTGTAAACCATTAAAATAGGTTATTAAAACAGTTACACACGCATATTCCCGTCTAATTAATATATGGAATTCTAAAATAGGTAATTGGGTTCTAAAACACAATTATTATTTACATTCTCCGCTAAAAATTGGCTTCTGAAGTGAGTGAAAAGAATATTTTTTTTTCTTTTCTTTTTACTTTCTCGTATATACGAAGTAAAGAGAAAGTCTTGTAATCGTGCAAAACAAAAAAAAATCGAGATTTTTACAAATCTCGACGTTTTACACCTCACTGATACGGAAAAACAATTTTGCAATCTTGTCCGTATGTCTGTGTGTCTGTGTGTGTGTGTGTGTGTGTGTCTGTGTGTAAACACGATAACTTGAGTACCGTTACAGCTAGGTTGATGAAATTTCATATATAAGTATTTTATCAAAATCGTAGATCCGTAACAACCTTTGAGCGATTTCCGATAACCGGAAGTGGTACTTTTTCTACTTTGAATTTTTAAAAAGCCTATAACTTGAGTACTATTTCAGATAGATAAATGAAATTTCACATGTAAGTAAAAGATCTAATTCTCTCTGAGTAATTTCCGTTGACTGGAAGTACTAATTTACGCTATTTCCGGTTTCTCAAAAAACGCACGTAAATTTATAAAGTACTAATAATATCCCGCACTATATGCACATTTTCTTAGGCGTTCGCTTTGGTGCGTAATTCTTTTTTTTTCTACTAGATCTAGATTCTATTCTATTTTTAAAAGTTTAAGTAAACAAAAATCAATGCCATCCCACGTAGTGTTATATTAGAATATTCGAGAAAGTTTAGGGGAGATCACTCCCGGTTTATTTTAATGGCGTTTAGTATTTAGTTTTAATCTTAGGACGATTTGCTAATGTAAACACGAAAACGATTTTTGTATGTTAAACGGACCTAAATTATTACACAAATTTAAAGCCACAATGTTTTAGCGGGCGAAAACGACCTACACATATCATCAACAAACTATCACGTTTTGACTAATTTAGGGCCAGAAGTGCAGACATAAGAAAATGACCCACTTATAACCCCCGACAAATGACCTATAGATGACCATCAACAAATGACCTAAAATGGCCGACACAAGACCATCATATGACCAATATGTGACCAGCATCTAATGAGTTTCAGATAACCAAAAGAACTGACATACGATCAACATAATACTAACGTATAAGCCACAAAACATCAACAGAAGCGTGGTTTATATCTGCCCCTTTGATTGGCTTAGACTACCTAGTTCTACCCTGATTATAGAGGACACAATTTATAGGCTCCAAATCAACACGCAAGTAACAGCGTTAAACCTACCTGCAGTAATAAACCTGAATGGCCACAGGATTAAACCTACCTGCAGTAATAAACCTGAATGGCCGCAGGATTAAACCTACTTGCAGTAATAAACCTGAATGGCCACAGGATTAAACCTACCAGCAGTTATAAACCTGAATGGCCACAGGATTAAACCTACCTGCAGTAATAAACCTGAATGGCCACAGGATTAAACCTACCTGCAGTAATAAACCTGAATGGCCACAGGATTAAACCTACCAGCAGTTATAAACCTAAATGGCCGCAGGATTAAACCTACCTGCAGTAATAAACCTGAATGGTCGGAGGATTAAACCTTCCTGCAGTAATAAACCTGAATGACCGCAGGATTAAACCTACCAGCAGTAATAAACCTGAATGACCGCAGGATTAAACCTACCTGCAGTAATAAACCTGATTGACCGCAGGATTAAACCTACCTGCAGTAATAAACCTGAATGACCGCAGGATTAAACCTTCGTTGTTCTGCGAACCACCGGTTAAGGGACTGGTTCACAAAAGCAACCAGGCAGAATGTCAGAGAAAGAGTTGCTAAGTGGTTCAAAATATACAGCTCGCAGCTCAATTATACTACTAGACCTTCGTAAAATTCTCAAAGGAATATACGAGCTAAATGTACACGTGTTTTACATGTCTTCACTGCGTGATGAAAGAACAGTAGCTGAACACTCGTACACTGTGTCGTATGGTGTGGGGGTTGTCTTGTTAGGTGTGTGGGTTGTCTTGTTAAATGTGTGGGTTGTCTTGTTAGGTGTGTGGGTTGTCTTGTTAGGTGTGTGGGTTGTCTTGTTAGGTGTGTGGGTTGTCTTGTTAGGTGTTTGGGTTGTCTTGTTAGGTGTGGACTAGGGAGACATTTCCTACTGTAAATCCGGTACCCATCAGAGTTGAGTGGATTAGTGACGTCATGAAGACTTGTTCGGACATTGATCCGAACTCAAGACTTTCGGGTTAGCAGTTTAACACCCTACTCCAACTACTACTGCCTATAAAGACTTAAATACATTGTACCCTAAACAGTAGCAGTGTAAAAGACGATAAATAGCTTCTAGATTAGATCAATATTTTATTATCATATCAAGGACTACTCTAATACAGGTTGCTCTGATGAGTACCTGACTCACGTTAGGGAAAGTAAAGACCTCACTACACCTTCATATGCCGGGGTCACAGAAACAGATGAACTCTACTTCAGCTCCGAAAGGGTAACTTTATCAAAACTCTAGCCCCCCCCCCCCCCCATTTGAATTTTACTCAACGGGCTCACATTTACTAATACATATATAATTTTTTAAAAGTAAAACTAAATATAATATGTATTAGAGTATAATTATTATAATACATGACAATTTATATAACTACAAAATACGTGAGTTTCTCATATATATATATATATATATATATATATATATATATATATATATATATATATATATATATATATATATATATATATATATATATATATATATACTTATATAATATACATATGTATAGCTTTTTAAAAAAAGCCGTAGTAGAATAGTAGGTCGAACCATGGTCATGAAAAAGTCTGTGGTCCAGCATATAGTGGTATCGATTGTCTTTGATATCTTTAGTTACTGACAGGGCAGCGGTGACTCATCTGAGGTCACTCGTTGCCTAGAGTTTTTCCATGACCGGGTGTCTATGTCAGACATAAAAACTCGGACACGTTACGTCATTACTTAAGTCTAATTGGCTCCTCAGTTTTCTGTTCTGGGCTATTCGATTGGCAATTTTAAAGACGAAATTTAAGTGATTGTAAGAAAGAAGCCAAAGTTTGTTATGTTGAAATAGATTCACGATTTGGCGCTATCACGTGGTAGTCCTTGTGACAGACAAGGCATCACTTTTAGAGTACAATTTGGCTTATAGGAAACTTACATCAATGGATGATGGATATGTATGGATGGACGGGTGGACGGATAGGTGGGTGGGCGAAAGCTTGATATCTGAAACAAGATTTGCTTTCAGTGTTTTTTTAAAAATTATTATTCCAGGCTGAGAGCTTTATGAATCACGTGAACGTCACATTCACTGGAGATTAAAAGACGTATTTAACATGACACAGAAATTAAAGAAGAATTCCATTAGAAAATGTTTGAAATAATTAGATGCTTAATTTATTTAAAAACAAGTTAATTAAAAAAGTCTAGTGACATTTGTGCGCAATTTCCTTATGTTATCTAAAAATAGCTCTGACGTATAATGTTGGGGTGCGTTCAAGCTAGAAGAACAATCGGTTTGTAGGTGTTTATGTAATTTTAAAATTTGTGACCGAACGAGAGAATATTTTTGAAAACTTTCTTCGGCAATATTGTTCTAAATTATGACAGGAATCGATTGGTACA